GTTTCTTTGTATGAACACTAGGGTCAATTTGACGGAAGCGCTTTGCCTCCCGAGTGTAGGCCACAGGAACTTATGTTCCAGCACCGTTTTTTTGATGACGGCGGTGAAATTTCTTAAAACAATCTGCCTTGGTCAGCAAACAAACAAATGTGAAATTTTGCTTTCCGCCTGTTACATAACCGTGCACTGATAAACAATATATGGTAATCATAGCAACTCCCTAAAGTCACACTCGGCAGGCAACAGTCTTTACCGGTTGCAATGCGGCACGGAGCAACTTGATCCCGATCTCGCTCAGGTGGAATCGATCAGCATTTTCCCTGTCAGAGCACTCCTCACTCGTATTCGCTTCTGTATCCCATCCAGTAGTTCGTAAAAGAGTCGGAGTGCGATGAGGCCAGGAGGCATTTGCTTCGGACAACCACTTGTTCCCATGCGGAACTTCCTCTGTATCACTATCAAATTCGTGCAACCAAAGAGCATCACGGCCCCAAAGAACTAGTGAGGATGTTTTACAACACTGACCGTCCTCTCCAGGAGCGGCGTCTCCATGGTCTTTATGCGGTGTTACATACGTTCGATAGGATGCTGCGTAGGGGCGGGAATGCGCATTCAAAGTTTGATCCAGGCCATTGAACAGGGTCGCAGCACTGAGCACTTCTTCTGCAGAGATCTACAAATGGATTAGGATAAGGCAAGGGTTTGTGAAACGGTTGAGTTTTATGTGTTGGTTGTGAACCAATGCCATTCATATGCATAAGTCCTCAATTTTAAAGTACGGAACCTGTGGTGTCCCGGTTAAGTAGGCAAATAAGTACTCAGTGAACTAAGCAGTACTTAGGTTTGTAGTATGCACACAGCCGGCGAGCAAGCAAGAGCGGGCAACACGTAGGATTGAAGGCCGACAAACACCTCAAGCGTCACATGACATCCGAAAGCAGTCAAGCAGGCATTCAAACAGTCAACGAATCAGTCAATACTAACAGCTGATTGGCTGGATCCAATCGATATCGTATTAGAGTCAGTCCGCATAGCGCGAGTGCGTGCGTTGCGGTAGCTGGCAGCATCTGTCATTCAGTCGATCTATCAATCCGGCCACAGTCATGCACGACAAACGTATCAGTCACTTGCAGGCCACAAAAGAACCAAACTTCTTTCCTAGCACATCAGATTTGATAAGCAATTGGTGCTCATCAAGTATCAAAAGGAAGAAAGTTCGTTATCAATCACTATTATGTAGCAAATCCAAGACCATGGATTCTTTGTTGCAAGGGTATGGAATGAAAACATTTGTTAACAATATTCGCCTACTCCGTCATCACCGAACCATGTACTACTGATCAATAACAAAATCCTATCATGAAAATTGTATTCCAGCGATTGAAATGTACAGATATAGATCATACTATTTCAGGTACTAATGGAGCATTATGTGATAAATGTTTTATCTCTTGAATAGGAGACACTAATGATATCAATGCTGCCATGAGTATAATTATTTTAACATCTCAGGACTGAATAGTATGCAAATTGTCAGTCAGTTACAACAGTCATCAAAAGTAGACCTGTTATATTCCGAAAAGGCGGTGCTGGCTGAGCAGAGTTCTTTATTGCAGAGTACAGATTGAACGCCACTAATTTTGCATGCATAACACGAAAAGCTCATCAGAAACATGCCTTCGCAGCACATCGCGGCACATGGGACAATGGGTAGAGTAGGTAGTGTTTATTCTTCCCAAATATATTACTTGGGCCTTGATGGTCTTGTTGTATTTTTAATCACCGAAAGTTACCGACTACTCACACGTGAGTAGTATCTCACAACAGAGCAATTAGGAGGATTTGATTGTCACCATGCAGAATTAACGTCTAATTAATTGACGCCTATAGGTTTCGCCAGTAAAACCAGTATGATTGAATTAATTTACTCCCGTTGGGTTGTTGTCTTGTTCCAGTTACAAGTTTCCATTATCCTGTACGCGCGAAACCCATTGGAATTCGAACTCAGCACAAGAGGCGCGATGTTCTTTTTACGTTAGTTATTTCAGCATGTATACTCAATACATTCTATTACTTGGTCGGGTTTCCTGTCTAAAACATCAACAGTGCAACACATTTTAGCGCATTTAAAGCACCCGCGTCCACTGTCACCATTTCATGTTTGTGGCGTCTAATTTCTAGACGTTTCGATGTGTGACCGTGAGTACTCAAAGTATCTTATGATTTCGTGTTCAATAAATTCAGTAGTATGCACTGAAATTAACTCCCTTAATTAGGCCTAGTCTGAGAAGATAGTATTCCACGAGCATTGCAAATACCTTCAAGATGATCGAAGTACAAATTATGGGACAAAATTCAGATGAACCTTTTTCGGGATTTGGTGTAATCCTGAATGTTCTCCAGCAGTCCGGTGTAGTACTTAGATCACGAATCAATAATCACGGACGCAACGGAAACGGTGAATTGCACTTGCACGCAAGAAAAAGGCCACAGAAGTAGCAATTTGTTTCTTGAAAGAAATCAAGGTGATTAAATAGCATGTACAACGGAATTTATTGGTTATACGGGTATCCATCAATCACGTGCTTGTATTCTTGACGTCATTCAGCCTCTGTCTGGACCGCACGACTTCTGATTGGTCGGCATGATTAGCCGGTGGTTCGTTGTCCTGAGACTGTAATGTTGAGGCACTTGGCGTCATCTGGTAGGATCAACTAACTAGATCCGGTATTAATTATTAGGAAAAACACTTGTTGAAGATTGTGTATAGGATAGTTGACAACGCACTGGAGCATTCCTTCAATACAATTGGATGTAATCCCTCTGGTTTGTCGGGCTTGTGAGGGTTTGATGTTTGTAGCTCTTCACATATTCATAATGGATTGGTCACTCACAGAATAAAGTAAGGAATCGAGGGGGGGTCAAACCTTTGAGCAGACCTGGGATTAGCTAGTATGATGAATCCATGGTTTATATCTACAATGACCGAGAACACTGTCTGACAGAAGAACCGCAAATCTGTTTAAACATTCTCGAGGGCCTTTGTTAGAAAAAATGTGTTGAGCATAAGCGAAATTTAGACGTCGAACTTCAATATTAATGAACTTTGATAGGATTTTCATCAAATGATAGTTAGGTTTAAACGCGCGTTCCTTATTCGACGCAGCTGTCTCCAAAGGGGAGCAGAAAAACCATTGCATCGGATATGGAGTGTTTCCTATGGACGGCAAACATCAAGATAAAAGTTGAGTTAGTCACTTAGGTGAAGACGGGAACTAGTTATATCACGGTCGGAAAATACGGAATTCCGTCTAAGCAACCATGTCCCTCAATTTTGGGATAAAGTTATTGCCTTGGAAGCTTATAGTCATGACCGTACAGATCATCAGCTGGTGGCCAATCAGTAACAAGCAGTCACGTGCTTCAATCTGACTTATATTCTTCTTTTCATTTTTACTTCAATTAGAATACGCAATAATAAAATGTTTAGGAGGGGGAAGCGGCCAATTAAAAGGCTACCATGAAGTAGTCACTCGGGTCAATATAATCAAATTACAATGAGGAGAGAGCATTGGATGCGTGGATGTGTTGGTGTGCACTCGTGTGAGTATACATTCATATCAAGTAGGGATACAGATTAAAACGCATGAAAATTTTATCCAACACATAAAAATATCGATTCCAGATCCTGGATCTCCAAACAACCTGCGTTGGAAGATACTATCAATGCACTCCCATCAGAAGACCAGATTGCCAGAGCATTCCCCTCAAAAACCGATTATTAGCCGACCACAAGGTAGTCAGAAAAGATACCACTTCTCAACCAATGGGATTTCTACATCGACGCTACCTAAACTATTGCTACACCGATGCATAGGGATTCCTCAGTAAATTTTCCAAACTCAAGTGGCGTTTCGAAAATGACCAATGGAATAATATTGCTGTTACCGAAACGTGACTGTCAGTTTCAATTAATGATTTCGAACTCTCTTTGCCAAATATGTCTCTACTAAGATGTGATCGTTCCACACATGTTGGTGGTGTTTTACTTTATTTTCGTGACGATCTTCAGTTTGAGGCAATCGACTCTACGTTTTCGGCTCCCGATACACTTTGGTTTAAGTCACAAATGTCCAAATATAATGAATGTTTGATCGACACAGTCTATCATCCCTCACCATACCCAGAGATAGCCGGCAAAACTGTTTGCAAACTATGTCACTCATTCGTTCCCAAATACTTACCCATGTTCTCCTAATGTACGATTTCAATTTCCCCAGTCTCGATGAATCAACGACCGTCCGTCCAATATTCGAACATCAGTTCAAACGGGTGGTTGACACATCCATTGTACAACCATGTGAAGGAGGCCACCAGGTTTTGAAACCTGCAGCCACCATCAATACTGGATTTAGTGTTGACTAGCGAGGAGCTGATAGTAGAATCTATCAACGTGACTCCCTCTCTAGGACGCAGCAATTACGCACTGCTTACATTCAAATATATATTTTTTATGCTTCTACTCAAGGAAGTTCCTCAGATAACAAGCACAGACCCATAGATTATACACGGTTGAAAAACTTGGCGCTCTCTACTTAGTGGGTTTCCTATGACGAAGAACCCAACCCACTGGTCTCCTGGCAGAAATTTATTGACAATCTCACAAACCTACTAAAATCAGCGACTGAAATCAGAGTAATCACCGAACTTAGCATCCGAAATTCACATTTCGAAGCCGCACGAGGAATTGACTATCTCTGCGGGATCTATCCTGTCGAGATGTTGTCACGTAAAACAATTATCGAATGCTGAACCAGGCTGATTCGTGAGGAAAAGCTGAAGTACCAAAAGGTACTAGTGCAGAGATTCATCTCGAACCCTAAGTTGTTGTATCAGCAAGTTAACTCAATTTGGAAAGTCAAGCTTGGTATACTAGCACTAAGCTGTGCCAGGAGAGTTGCAGCCGCTCCAACGAAAGTTGCCGAAATACTGAAAATTCAGTATTTCAACGTTTTGTCGCGCCTCATGTTAGAATTATATATATACCGGAATATATTCTTGTGGCTTAGGGATAGAAATTTGCATTCAGAAAAATTTAATGCAGTTCAGTTCAGTTCAGTTTGTACAACGATTGTACACTACGC